AAGACATTCCTTTTGCTGAGAATTTCCTTTAATGCCATACATTTCTGTAGATATTTGGTCCTAACATAAACACTTATCATTTAGCTACAGCCTCATTTAGCTGTTAGCATGGCTGCAGACTCTTATATACTTCCGCATTTTGTTTTAACTTTTGTGAAATACACAATAGATGTCAGGCTTTTGTCATCCTTTGATTACATCTCCACATAATTATTGGTTAGCCACTCTTTATCTATCAGGAAAATTGTCTGAAGTCAGCAACTAAACATGTCTGTACTGCATTTATGACTGATTTTATCAAAAAAGGCGTAGAATTTCCTTCATTGTATCCATTTAACCTCAGTTGCCAAAGAGAAGCTCTGTTGTCAAAACTGAAAATCAAATGGGACAGGATAATAATACTTTAATCAGATGCAGCAATTTAAGCATCCCCCAGATATTTTTTTTAGTAATGCACACTGTTTCCTGCTAATAAGATCTCTGCTGACTCATCTTCTGTGTAGGCCCACGCTCAGACTCCCCAAAGCCGTCACAACTAAAACAAAAAGATCAGACGCCTCATTTCATCCCTTCAAGCATCTGCCTGATGAACTCTTCAGAGATACGCTTTGACATCCTGCTAACACATTGAAACCACAAGGGAAACACTGATTATTATTTGTTTTTTGCTGTGTATTTAAGTCAATTCTTCTTATTTTGAATGACAGTGTTCTGTACATATATGGGGTCAGAAAAAAAATGTCTGCCCTCAGGGATTATTGGCTCTTAATACTGACAAGTACATTTTTAAGCTTAAATCAAGAGAAGGCTATTTGCCATGGGTTTTATGTATACATGGCTCCACACTAATCTGCATTAGGAACCACTGTGAGCATTCCCTTTGCAAACACACTTACTGCTTCAGTCTGCGTGCATTAATACTTGCATGTCGGTCTGCTCAAGTCAGCATGAGACGATACCCCCCCCCAATATCTGCTGAAGAAGCCAACTGTGAGCGTAGCAACTTTCACTCATTCAGCTTTAATGCAATTTTAGCCCGTTTCATTCAGTAACCACATGCTGGTTTTTTATCTTATATTAATGAGCACTCAAACAAATGGCAAAATTCCCCCGTCCCCCTCCACCACCCCCCTTGTCAACATTGATGTTGTCATGGAAACAGTGATTGTGATCTGGAACCCTCTTTTTTCAGTCCAGCTATGTGCCAGGGAGACGCGTACAGCTTTCTCTCCAAATGCCAAGGCAATAAAAGAGACACTTACAGAATGTCAGCAGCACTGTCTGACCGTGGATATGGAGTCTGACAGCCATGACAGGCAATCTTTTTCAGTTTCATTTTCGAGCAGAACCCTGGGGTGCTGCATCTTTTTCATTTAACGCAGAAAAGGTCTGTAAGTAGCAGCAATTGAAACAAATTGCACGGCTGCACACTGAAAGCTTTGGATACGAGGTTACGGAAATTAACATGATTAAACCACACTATAACACACACTTGTGTATGCACATGCTTATACGCAATGCACATGTGCAGAATACTCCCTTCATTTATCAGTGCAATTACAAAAATCCATTGTTTGTGTATGCAATAGTGCTCTCAAGTGGTCGAACAGAGTATAACAACAATTTATAAATCCATATTCCCAGCTGCTGCAGTGTTTCATAGTGAAGTATTTTTTACCTGACACAGACACAGCCAGATGGGTGCACCATCATGTTTTCAGGACACACTCCTACCTCAGTTTGATTGACTTTCAGAACATGTCTGTGTGTTCAGGTGAAAATTGAACTGCTAAGGTAATACTGTTGTTTTCGAGAAGTCACATATTGTGATCCAGGCCTTGTTTTTATGCTGTTGAGGTTATTGCACTGACAAAAAGGACCTATATCAAAAGGTTTAACGAGGTAACATAAAAGAAAAGGCTGGTTCTATTACAAGTTTGACTCTCACGGAAGATTTTGAAAGAGGAGCATAATTCAAACCACACTCCAGGTTGAATTTGACCACCTGTTTGGTGCTTTTAGTGGTCTAAGAGGTGCATTGAGTTACTGCTAATGAATACCCAGATGATCCACAGAACAGTTTTATATGTGTGCCCATGGCTTTGAAATAAATGAATGATGGGATAATTGTTTGATTTTGGATGAGTGTTTTATTTTCTTATTCACTTTCATGTTCTGTGCCTTGGTTATTTCAGTGACCTTGTGTTCAGATGCTTTATTTACATGTATAATTTTATTGATTAACCACTTTGCAGGTTGTAAGGCAGGTGTGTGTGTGTGTGTGTGTGTGTGTGTGTGTGTGTGTGTGTGTGTGTGTGTGTGTGTGTGTGTGTGTGTGTGTGTGTGTGTGTGTGTGTGTGTGTGTGTGTGTGTGTGTGTGTGTGTGTGTGTGTGTGTGTGTGTGTGTGTGTGTGTGTACTGTAGTGCAGAGATATCAGAATCAGAAAACCTTGGTTTACAAAAAAAAAAATGTGTTTGGAGTATGTGTGTACGTGTGTGTATGCAAGTGTTTATATGTAAAAATGTAATTATGGAGGACACATTTGCTGCTACAAAGACGTATATTTCTGCTAGCAGAGGAAAGAAAACAATGAGATGCTCCACTAAGTAATGCAAACTGCAGAAGGCGTATATACAATTGTGGGAAATGTGGATAAATTAGCTGTCTAGATGTCTTGCACAGTTGGTAATAATTAATTTATATGTCTGAACAGGAACCATGAATATCAATAAGGAGATCACACGCAGCACACTCACATAAGAGAAATGTTATGGCAGAGATGGAAATGATAATGCTGTGATGAGAATCTAAAGAAGCCAGATTGTTTTTTGGTTTTGTTTGCACACCAGCAGCGTTCAGGCTGAATGCATGTGGGAGGGCTGAGATTAATAATGTTTTCATTAGTCTGCACAAGCTATAAAGTGCACCAGGGCTTCATTTATTAAAATGTCTCGCACACAAATGACGTGCAGAAGTAAGGGAAGGTTTGGTTTAGAAAGACTGTCAGAGATTCTCTCCAACATCAGCAAACAGCAATAACATTTCAACTGAAGAATATAATATATATGTGTACTATACTCCATAAAATAAATGTAATATTCTGTGAAAGTATTCTGACTATCTAACCATACGAAAGAGAAATTGAGTCTTTCATGCTGAGCAATTTGAATAAAGATTTAGATTCAAATCAGGTGTCCAATGATAAGACTCTGTGATGTTCAAAGACCACAAGATTGACTCAATTACGAACTAGGCAAAATACATTTTAGACGTTTTATCTTTTAATCTTTCACAGTTAAATGACCGTTGGGTGGATTTTAAACATGAAACTATTATCAATATTGTAAATTAAACCAAAAGGCATCTAATTTATTCTGGCATAGCAACAAAGGCTGAATTACACACCAGGGGAAAGGAAATGTTACAGGTTGTTGATAGCTAATTAATTATTCAATTACAATAACCACCTCAAGGGGACTTAGTTCTTTAATCATTATTTGCCCTAAATGGATCCGTACTAGTTAAGCAGCCACTGATGTACAACTGTACTGCTCCTCACTCTGTTTTTATCTTGCTCAATAAATGTTCTTTACAAAACACACGTTTCTCACAGATATGTATTGATCTGGTTTGACAGTGACTCCTTTACTGTCACTTGAATTTACAAAGGATTTATGCTTGAAAAGAATCTTCACGTAAATCGAGTAAATGTTCTTCTTAAATTCTCACAATGTCCTTCAGAGTTAAAGTACATGCACAGTTTATGCACAAGGTTATGATTCAAACAAAGAAGACGTGTAACCTTTTGTCTTTTCACAATCTAATTAAGATGGAATCTAGATAAGATTGAGAGACTTTCACAGAATGTTCTTGCATTTGTTTCAAGAAACAAATGATTGACATCAAATACTATTGTTGAGTTTATTATTTTTATAACACTTTATAACACTTCTATGATTCCATGTCAAAATGCATTATAAACATACATACATTAAGCTAAGTTACAATGTGCTTATAGCTATGTTTTTTATATAAAAGCATGCAACATACATCCTGCTATAGCAATTAACTGACACATCAGGCGTTTTTGACATAAGGTCCGCTATCTTGATGCTTTACAATAACTTGATTTCACATCATTTTATAATGCAGTTGTATTACTTTTATAATGAATTAAAATATGATTATAAGTGACTTCAAGTATTAATTGGGTGTCTTAGGGGAATTTATGATATTCTTGAGATGTAGACTGATATAACCCATTGCAAACTGGTTATAAGTCATCATAAATATCCACTGTGACTTGTAGAGTAAACAAATATTTGTACATCTAGAAAGTCAGTATGTGACCGGCAATAATGAAGTAATATGATATTCATTATACAATGATATTCTAAGTTATGATATTTTAATATTTAATGATATTTAATGCTTATGACTATTCAGCACTGAGTACTTTTATGATGCATTATAGATATTTTAATATGTTATACACATAAACTTCCCTGATGCTAATAAGTGAACCCTTTATGTATTAATCTGCAGCTGACAATTATTTTTGTTTTTGTAAAAATGACTGTTTTAGGAAATGACGTAGCTTCCTTCGGTTTTTTTAATTCAAGAAGTTATTTGAGGTAGATTTATCGGGAGTCTTATCTTTAGTACAAACAAATGTGCTTGTTTCTGAGCACTACATACAAGCTGGGGAGTGGGAGAGCAGTGGGAGATGAATGAACATATTGTTGGTTGTTTATTGTGTAAAATGTCTTTCAGATGGAAACGATTCGCAATTGAAACGGCTGGTAGCTTATAAAACAGTGCGTGGATCTTTTGTCTGATTCCTGCCTCTTTTATTCGTTACACTTCTGTAGGAATAATGTGCATAATATTCAATCTACAATCTGTAATGTATGCTGGGTTAAAGGTCAGAACTACCTCTGTGTCAGGTTTCCACTAATATTCCTTGTAATTGGTTTAAAACGAGACTATCATTACTCACCGTGACAGTGGATCAAACAGCAGCTCGATGTTCCTCCAGGTGGCCCACACATGAATAAACACCTGAGTTGACAGTGTTGCCTCGTGCTGTGTGGTTATAAATACCAGTGGAATTATTAAGCAGGAAGAACTGAATTGCTTTTACAAATATTGTGCAGATTGAAAAATAACTCAAACATTAATCACAATATTCCCTGCAAGATTGCTCCTTTAATTTCACCAGTGGCCTCCATTTGCATATCATTATTACCATCAATGAATTGGTGTTCTTTCTTCGCATTTCCTTTTCATTTTTTTAAATTAAGTGCAGTCTCTCTAATCCCCTCAGTGAGCGGGGCTGTTACTGAGCTTCATCTTGCTTTGGCTTCAGGGAATCTTCTCAGCAGCGACCTTCAGCTTCACAGTCCGTGCAAGCTGCAGAGATCAAGTGAAATCATTAATATCCAGATTTTATCTCAAATCTTCTAATTGCAAAACATGCTACCATCTAAAGCGCGTGTTTGTTTGTTTTTTAATGCATATGACGAAGAGAAAAGATATGGACACGATGAGTCGGAGAGTGTTCAGGGGAGTGGGGGTTGCAGACAGAGGGATCTAGTAGCTTTGTGGTTTTATCGATGTTTGGTCAAATACAATTGGGTATCAATGCAACTCTCAGTTACCATGGCTACTGCAGATTCCTCTCTGCGCATATATAGGACGACTGTGCGGCCACAGAGGGACCAATTATCTCTTTCTGAATAAGGAGGTATACACTGCGTGCCCTTTGCTAATATCATTTATGTGAAGTCCATCAATTGGAAATGTGCCGATACTGAGAAAAGGATACACGTGGGATATAACTTGGAGATGAACGTTTTTTTTTAGAAAGTCTTGTTAGTTGTATTAAGTATTCTTCAAGTGAGGTTAGATTTGTAAGAATCAGTAGCTGTCCTGAATGATTTGTATCTATAAAACAATCTTATTATAAAAGTATTATTATAACTGCAACTACTGGCTAAAAGTGATGTCTCACATTCAGTTCTATACTATCCGATATATAAAATAAAGAATTTTGTTCAGTAGGTGCATATTACGATCCTTAGATAATAAGTTAGAAAAGTAGCAGTTGTTCATAAATTCAGAACTTTAAGGCTCTACCAACTTATATAACTTGAGCTTTTTAACCCGCACACACTCTTCTAAATTACACTATATAAATCACAATGAGATTGATAAGAGTGCTATTATGGAACATTGCAAAATGACTAAGCTAAAACTGGTTGGATCAAGTCAGTCTTTGACACAGAGCCCAGAAAGTCTACTGTAGTAATTGGGTAATGTTACCTAATGTAAATATAATACCATAAAACAAGTTCATTACTGTGCATTAATAAGATGTATGTTATTTATTTACATCATTAGATACCACAAGAACATTGCACCATAAACACACTTATCGACACTCATTAAACACTGCAACATGAGAGCAAAGTCTCTACAATTACTTCAATTAAGATTTTATGGAAATTGCATGTCATCATCAGTCGATAGCTGTACTATAAAAAGCTTTCGTGTGCGGTGTGAACGCACCACAAGACTCATTCAGAGAAGAAGCTTTAATTTTACCTGCAGCTGCTTGAGCTGTGAATTGCAGATCGTTGTACCTCTTGAAAAACATTAAAGCACTGCTGGAATATCTAATGGACTATAAATGTTGAATACAGTTTTATGTTATCCTGAGTCAATCCCTTTAAATGAATAACCCCTCAGTCACTATACAAATCACACTGAAATTGTTAAGAGTGCTATTATGAAAAAATGTCTGATCTTAAATGTGTTGATTCATATATGTCATTGTAGATATTATACATTAATGTAATTGTACACATTTATTATACTATATTTATCTGGGGTCTGCCAATATAAACAGACCGTAAAATCAATATATAATCTCATTATTACTCGAGGGAATAACTAAAAGGAGTGTCATTTTGGCGGTACCAAAACGGGCAGCCATAACACCAGATTTAGAATATTTTGATATTTCACCTGATAAGCCCAGAGTTAATGCTTTTGTTTGCTTAAACTAGAGTCGGAATAACTACCAAATGTATTTCGATCGGATTAGGCTGTGGCTCAGTGGAGGTGTGATGGACTTCGAATCAGGCGATAACAAGTTCGAGTCCCACTGCAGTCAGCATGTCGTTGTGTCCCTGGGCAAGACACTTCACCCCAAATTGCTCCTGTGGGGATTGTCCACAGTACTCAATGTATGTAAGTCGCTTTGGATAAAAGTGTCTAACAAATGACATGTAATGTAATTACAACTATAGGGGGATTTGGTTGAAATAAGGCACCTGAGAAATGCAAAACAATTGCCAAATATTGAACAAAAAATGCTGAATGTTAAGGCCTTCAAAATATTTATAGCGCCAATAATAATAATGATTCTAGTGATTACAATAGGTCCTCTGCTGCGACTGTCGGTGCTCAGGCCCTAACAAGGCTTAGAGTCTACAGTTTGGCTAAAGCAGCTCATACTAAATGTAACCTAATGCTATGATTCTTCTTATAATATTTACCATGCTCTCCACCTTAGTTTAGCATGTAAGCATGCAAAGTACAGCAAAGGCTGATGGGACTATCCTTAGTTTTGTAAGAGCTTGATGTTGGCAGGATTTATACTGTTTTTGGCATCAGAGGAAACATCAAGGAGTCACTAAAGTTATTAGAACTAATACTGAACACATTTTATGGCAAACCATCCAATAGTCGTAAACATACTTCAGTCTGGAATTAAAAAGCCCTAAGATCAGTGCAACCCAAAAATCTAATCAAATCTAAGTACCTCTAGAAGCCCATCCTGCGTTTGACTAGTTTATTTTAAATGAAAGGCGAAGCTATTTAATTTAATGCAAACATCCGCAGGTTTTGCCCTCTAGCAAGGCTTTGTAGGACGAGCCTGATAACTGCACTTCCTGCTATGAAGCGGTCAGCATAAATTGAAAACGTGTAACTGATCAACATCAGAGGATTAAAGGGTGAGAAACACCTCACACTAGCCCTTCTATCTTTGACATAAAACCTCCGTGCCTTTGAAGGTTGAGCTAGGGAAGCGTTTATAGGAGGGTGGGCCGGTTCAACATGCTGAGCTGCAGTCAAGGACGGCTGGGGGCCCGATGGGGGTTTCCATCCCTCCCATCTGCAGATCCCAGTCTTTTTCAGCAGCAGGAGCTCAGGTAGAGGAGCAGGACACCACAAAAATGGCCGCTAATAATCAGCTGGGAATAGAGATAGCAATGGACACAAGGTGAACACCCAGACAATCCCCCTTACAGTTATCCCAGAGGGCATCAGGAGGGCCAGTTGCTCCAGACAAAGACTTTGACCAGAGCCTCGGCCCCTGACAGTAATGAAAATCCCCTGCTGGTACTGGGGTCTTTTTTTTAAAATTGTGTTAACAGGGGCACGCTGAAATAAGAAATTAGACTTTGATGGATCAGAGAACTGAGAACATTGGCTTTAACAGGCTATAGGGTCATTTGCAGAAGCAATTGCAACTTATACAACTAAGTTAATACTTTCCAACTGAAAAAGAGAGGCACATGATACTAGAAATCTCTGAAATGCGAGTAGGGGAAACAGATATTTTCAAAAGCACAGACATGCAGAGCTGAGGGCAGACCCCAAACTAGAACTTTCTTAGTAGTGCAGAACTAGAGGAATATAAGTGGAAGTTTACCATCGTTGTTAGTATTTCTCTCCTGGGTTTTTGATACTAATGAAAGTAAAACTGTGGTGACCAAGACAGGACAGTCTTCTGGCATTGTCATCCATCCCTGTCTTGCTCTGATGACAAATTGGATAAGCTGAGGTTAGTGTTCCACATTTATGAGGAGAAGTATAGCCCAAGCAATTTTAAACTGGCAGCCCTCCACTCATGGGATGAAACAGCCTGATTCTGAGGATGTGTGTACATTTCCAATGCACAGATACAAGTGGATAAACCTAAAGAGCCCCTCCAGAGGCTTTAAGACTGTGTGAAACTAAAAAAAGCTATTATTGCAGCCTACTTTCACAACATAATAGTACTAAAACAGGAGGAACTTCTGTGAAGAATAAAGACGTTTATTTCACATTGCTCCCCTAGGATTATGTTTCTCATGAATTGTGCAGAGCTACAGAAGCGAAGCGTTGATGTATTGAAACTCAGTTGAACGTATAACAGCAGCAGTGAGGCTGAAAGCATATGATATCATCTATTGCATGTGTACTAAGCAATCTTTCCCTTGTTATCACTTTCTTTTCACCATGTTATGTTTTGGGATGTATTTGCAATGTGCAGTGTAAAATCGCTTTGAATCCTAACTAACGCTATGACTGTGAACACACTCTCACAGATGGCTTACATCAAACAAGCCTTATGGTGAAGCAAACTTTTAATAGGGTGTAACTTTCACTGAAAATCTGCAGACTATTTCAGTCTTTTCACAGCTTTCCTTGAGAAATGTAATGCTCAGTACAAAATTACCTGTGACCACTTTAGAATCATGCTGGATTTCTTTCTCCATGACCAAGAGGAGGACACACTAATCAGGTCTCACTTTCCTGAGGCTTACACCTAATTAGATTGCCCTGTTCTTTTCTCCTCCACATTCACATTATTTAACAATAAGCCACTAATTGCATGAGCTCAGTCTTTCAACTGAAGGGGAGAAACAGCATACTGTATGTATATTGTAAGATATTTTGCTTGCTTTAGGTGACAGTTTTGTTCTTTGTAAAGCACAAATGTGGACAGTCTCTGGTCTAATTATGCTGGCAGTCTGTCAGCATTTCTGCCCTGAGGGGACAGAGTTTGTGTAGAGGCAAGATGTAATGAGCAAATCCTCGAACCCACAAGAAAACCCACACTATGTCAACGACTGTGGCAATTACTCACAGGTGAAGGCTATGTTTAAAAGGTGTTCATTTTACTAGCAATAATTGTATTATTTAAGGGAAGTCACACTCTGCCCATCATGGTTTACTCAATTTGTGATAAGTTGTGACGCAACTCTTTAAAAATATTTAAGTTTAAAGCCTTTCCCTTTCACACTGGTAGAATTATCTCTCCGATGTGCACAGCCACTGGAGTCCATGTGGCATTCAGGGCACACACAGCTTTCTGTTTCTAAGCAACAGAGTGATTTCAACTTTACAGGAATTACAATTAAATAACATGTCAATCAAACGAGTCTTCCCATTCTAGTAATAACACATCGACATGACAAAGGAAATGATACGCTCGGTAAAGATTATTATAATTTTCTACTTTAGCGTGAAGCTCTCAATCTTTGAACTTCAGTTGTCATATAAAGACACTTACATAATTCATATAGTGAAGTATATGATTATTAGATAAAGGCAGAACTCAGTGGCAGTTCAGTGAG